TCAATAGGTTTCCCCATCACAATATCGGCTTTTAGCTCCTCGATTAGCTTTCTGTTGTCAATACCATGCATTTGGCTTATATGTCGCTGACTATGGATTAATCTGTGCATCACTGATCTGGCTTCGCCCTGTATAAAGAAATGAAGTGGTGGTAAATTCAACAGGACTTCCAGCGATGCAGTAGGAGTTGTTTTTATGGCCCCCGTAATACACAGGCATGCTAGCCTTTGTGTATTACCTAGCAGCCTTATTGCTCCCACTTGCTGCGTCTTTGTCCACCACGTCACCGAGCCATAGGTTATCATGGGTCTAATAACCCTTGTGTATAACCATAGAGTCATTTTGGGGTTAAGTCCCCAATTCTTACCGCACATTCTTCTACATCTGCCCAGTGACATAGTAGCTTTCTGTGTGGTTTTTTGAATGTGAGTATTCCATGTAAGCCTATGATCAAAATATACCCCAAGGTATTTGGTTTCTTTGGCAAATGAAATCTCTGTTCTTTCCAGCACCGGTGGTTTTAGGCCTTGTAGTGCTCTTTTCTTGGTGAAGTTGACGATTTGTGTTTTCTGAGCATTGACTATCAGTCTCTCTTCTTGACACCAGTCGTCAACTATATTTAGAGCTGCTTGCATTTTCACAGACACCACCTGAGCAAACCTGCCCCTGACGATGATCGCTATATCGTCAGCATATCCTAGACAATAGAAGCCTTCTTTGGACAAATTTCTGAGGAGATCATCTACCAAGGTTGCCCAAAGTAGAGGGGACAGAACTCCTCCTTGTGGACAGCCTCCACCTACTTTTTCTTTGATGGTTGTTTTACCCAGAGTAGACATTACTATCCTATTCTCTAGGGATGCCCTTATCCATCTGCATATTACCAGGTGCGCCTCGTCTACTCATAGCTCCTATCAGAGAGCTAGTGGTAACATTATTAAATGCCCCTTCTATATCTAAATAGGCGGCCATTGCTATCTCTTTGTCTTCCATTGACTTTGAGATCAGCCTGTTTAGATCATCCAACGCAGAGTTCGTAGATTTACCAGGTTGGTATGCATATTGACGATTGCTTAGAGGATTATCTTTTAGCACTTCATCTGTGATGTACCTATCAAGAAGCCTTTCCAGCATTTTTAATATAAACGAAGATAGGCTTATCGGTCTATATGACTTTGGTGTTAGGTCTGATACTTTACCTACCTTAGACAAGTATATGACTTTAACCTTTTGCCATATTTCCGGTACGACTCCCCATGCTAAACTGGCTTTGAGGAGCTTGCATAGATATGGTATCAATACCTCTAATCCCACATGCAATAGTATTGAATATATTCCATCCGTCCCTGGAGACTTATATGGCCGAAACTTATTTATAGCCCATCTAATTCTGTTTGGTCTTGTGATTGCTGTGGCTATTTCTCAATCTGTAGACCTTGACCTAGTATGCGCTTGGTCTACGTTGGTTTGTCTATCTGCATCATCCAGAATTGTTGAGACCGGAAAGTGCGTGTTTATCAGATCTCTAAGACTTTCCTCTTTGGTGTCCGTAAATTTGCCATTAGCTTTCTTTAGGAAACCTACTTCTTTTGTTGTAGCAAGTATGCCGGGATATCTGTAATCTCCTCGCAAAACTCCATGAATTTCTTTTAGCTTTCCGGAATTCTTTATTGTATAGCGTTAGCTTATACCTTTAGGCATCCTAATCTTGGTTACTTTTGGTTTTATTAAATAGGCTTCGGACTTCCGACCTCATCCTCTTTAAGCCGCTGTTCCACCAGACTGTATTACTGCCCGTACTTTTCCTTGTTTTTTCTGGACAGTTTTCCTGGTCTTCTTCTTCTTTGAGTGCCTCTCCTATCGGAGATTGGATATCATTGTGGCGATTCTAATTTTATTAACTGCAATTTTAAATAATTCGTTAGTGGTACAGCCAAACCACTCTCTTAAATTTCTCATCCAGGATATTTTTCTACTGACTGGATTTCTGCGTCCTTTGATTTTCCTAGCATTATATTTTGTAGGAAAGTGTATTTTTGTCCACTCATCAAGGAGATGAGAGGACAAAAGGAAAAATTCAAAATGGAATCACCCCCTGCATTGATGTTTGTGCTTCTCCATATGGTGTGGTGGGCGTTGGCATCACATCCTATAATGAGCTGTAGTCCTTTTCCTAGACAATATGCTATGTCGCTTATAATGCTTGGTGGACACAAAGTCTCACCTGGAAAGTAGGCTGAACACACCACCAGTTTCTTCTCTTTTTCTTCCGTGGTTATAGTTAGAACAGCTGTAACAATATCATCGGTGCAGAGCACCGGGATTGGTGTACAATCTACTCTATTACTGTGAATTGACCACGACCTTGGCCTTATAGCTTTGGGTGTATATAAAACCTTACCTTGTTTGGTTGATAGGCCAGCAATCTTCTCACCTATCCTCCAAGGCTCCTGTAGGAGGGCCACATCAATGCCTTCTTACAAGCGTTGACGATGCGGCTTTTGCATGTTGAAGTATGGCCTGCAGGAGCCTTATTTATCTCTTCATTGCGAAGAGATGGCCGGTTCTGGATCTGTGGACATTTCTTCTTCCATGGGTTCGACACAACCTTGGACGCTAGTCCTTATGAGTGTGTCAGCTTCACTCGAAGAAGGTTGTTCCTGAACCTCCATATGTAGGAAGGTTTCCCCTGTTTCACTGGAACGAGTTGCTACTGGCTTCTCATTCTGTGTTTTTGTCTTCCCTACTTTGGGTCGGAACGTTAACCGTCCTACTCCGAGAAAGGGTGACATTTTTAATTTCTGGAGTTTTTCTCGAGATTCAGAATCCATTGAGAAGGTCCATAACACCCTTTTTTCTGAAGGTTTACTACCCCAGACTGTCTATAGATTTGTCCTGAGCCCATGGTTACTTATCCTTAATCTATTATGGATCCCTTTGGACTCAAGGGAACCCTTTCGCACTAAGTTTTATCTTTATTTGTTTTTTTTTTGAGATTCCATATTGATACCACGAGTAGCTAGGAAAAGACAGTCAATCCCTAGCAGAGCCCCGCTTGCGAGGGTAAGGTCTAAATACTATGGGGTGCGAACTGTTGCCCCAATGCCTTACAGCCTTCACCACGGTGTCTCACGGCTTGGTGTGGGGATTGTTTATCGACTATCTAGTCTAGATCCGCTGAGTTTAGTTTCAATAGAGCCACCACGTGAAGGGTGCAATCAAAGATTGATTACACACCCCAATCATTGTTGGGGGTACCCAGCGGTCTTGAGATAGTTTAAGGAGGTGCAAAGTCCTAAGACTCTCCGTGCAAAACTTGTTCGCTGAGATTTGTTCTTTTCCCGCTTAGCTTTACGCCGATTAGAAGAAGAGCGCTAAGATAATTTATTCTCCAAGTAAGGGAATTGTCAACGTTTTATGGCAGAAAGCCTATAAAGCTTGTATCCAATCTATTGCATATTCTCTGCAACCTTTGGTAATAGGATTTTACCACGCGAGATTTATTATTGTAGATATGTCGATATGTTTATACTTTTGTATAAATATAGGAGTTTAAGGGAGGTCTATGTTCAGCAGTGGAGGGGATAAATGAAAGCTGGATGATACTGATGATGAATGTATCAGAATATGTGGTGTTCATTTGGCGAAATAGATGTATGTGCAGATAGTTGATGTATTTGTACCAAGGATGACGTATTACTACATTACATTGGATTATATTTAAAAAGAAAATCAACAAATATTATCGTCTTCTTTGTTTTTCGTGTCTTTACATGGTAGTTTTTTTATGTAGTTTCGAAATCAACCACAAATTGTAAAATTATTTATATGTTCGATATTTAAAATTTTAGAATAAAAGGACGTTTACAAAATACTCTTTTTCTTTTTTAAATTATTACTGAGAAGTTTTACAAATACAAAATGGACTCAATAACAATTTTTTTTAACTAAACAAAAAAAATTTCGTTTATTTAAAAAAACAGAAAAGAAAAGTTTTTGTACACACTTATGACAAATCAAAGGTGGAAAAGGGAAGTATTTTTGGAGCTATGGTCAAATATTTAAGTATCCTACTAGGAGAGATCATCTGTTAAGTAGAAAATGCTGGTTCTATTTTATTTTTTCGGTCTTTTAACAATGAAAAAACACAAGGACTATACATTGGACTCCACAAAAAACACATTAAAAAATTTGGTTAAAGCACGGGTGTCAGAACCCAACTATTTTATTGGAGTTGAAGCATTAGACATAATTCAAGAAAATAGTTCCCAAGATGGTTTGTAAGCCGAAAGCGTTCAGCTAGGAATTAAAATTCCTTACAAATTTCAAAAATACTTCATTGTTCCACCTTTGATTTTTTATAAATTAGATTAAAGTTTTCAAAGCTCCTTAATACAACAAAATATTGGATAAATCCAAAAGAACTTTACTTACTTTCTAAAAAGTGCATTATGTTATCACTTCATAAATTTAATAATTGTTTTTTTAGTTTTTTACCTTGAGGTAAAGAAATCTGCCAAAATATTAAAATAAACGTCATAATAATGCTCTGGACATCGAAGGTTATTTTCTTTTTTGTCCGGCTAATTCCGTGTACTGTAGATTTAAATTATCAAAAGGTTTCCCTACTGCGGATCACCGAATAAGTGTTTCATTTAAATATTTCAGAATTTAAAAATTTGTTCCCAAATTTCTGAAATATTTTAACCAACTATCATTTTTCTGCAATACACTTCAACCTCCTAGGAACACATGAAATTTACAAGGTTTGTGAAAGTATTAGGAGTTATTGGTACGGGTTTTACCTTTGTATGAATGCGTACCTACTTTAAATTGAAAGCGAATATTTCGATAATAAAAAAACTTGATTATTTTTCTTTCTGAAAATACTTTTTTTTAATAAAATATTACAAAACATTACGGAGAAGTTTTAAACATACTTAAAAAATGAACTAAGTAACATAGATTACGATTAGTTTTCAACATATAATAACAGGTAACTACTGTTGAAGTACTTCCAACAAAATATTGGATGTATCCAAAAGAACTTCGCTTACTTTCTAAAAAAGTACATTATGTTACAACTTCATGAATTTGGGGATTTGGATTTTTAAAGTCTGATTTTTCCAAGTTTTTTACCTCGAGGTAAAGAAATCTGCCAATATACCCAAATTGCTGCAAATACATTAAACCGCCGTCATTAACATTATTAGTTTTTAGTAAAACAGGAGCAACAACATTTAAAACAACACTTCTTAAGTGTTTGGCTTCCAAAAGGACTTGGTTGTTTTCTTTCAGCGTAATGGTACTTGCGGATTGTTCAAACAAAAGAAACAATATTTTCCCAATATTGCATAAATGGGGAAGTAAAAAAGTTTTAATTACTTCATCACCCAAACTGCCTAGTCCTTTGATGGCCCCATACATAGAAGTTAGATGATACTTTGCGCAGTTTTTTAAAGGTTTTAAATATATTCCTATTACCCTATTTGTTATATTATTAACTGGGTTATTATATTTTTCGCAAATGGTAGCTGTTAAAAACACAGAAAAATCTCGTAAAGTCCAATGGTTATCGTAATAATATTTACTTATTTTCCGTGCCAACGCACATGACAAAATGGCTGGAATGATCTCATGCAGTACTGGAAATAGGTTTATATGTGGATTACCCAAAAGGCTCTTTACCATACGTACACAATATATTAACAATGTTAAGTCGGGATAGGCTATATTCGCGTGGATTCCATCTCTTATAAAAGTACTTAAATAGGGAAGTAAATACTGGATATTACAATCTGAAGCCAAAATTCTAAGTCTTTCATTTCTAATTTGCTCGCTGTATCCAAAAATGCCCTCAGTTAGTCTCAAAAAGAATACTTGCTGTTCCATCGAGATCTCGTGAATATCTGGTGATATTTTTATGTATACCGTATCTCCTTTTGCTATAATTTTGTTTGTCATGTTGTCGTTTTAACAAAATGATTGTTATTCTTATTATCTAAAACTTTCGTTTTATTATTTCAAATTTATTCACATTTATATAAAATGTTGTATTTTTATTCTTACTTAACTGATATTAATGTTAATATTATTAACAGATTTTTTTCTTTGTAGATATGTCAAAAGTGATGATTGACGTATTTACAAAGGTGACCATGTGTAACATTTCGATTTTTAAATAGAGATTCAAACGTCAATTTTTTGCTGTTTTTATTATTGTGTATAATACTGTTAATAAAAATATTATTCCATTATTAAAAAAATAAAAAATATATAAAAGAACTGGGATAATACCACAAATACAAACAAACAGTATTATAACAATATTTACGAGATGTGACACAGTGTCAACCTTTTTCAAATGTGTAAAAGTTTTTAAAAATTTTTAATTTTGTCTAAAAACCAGAAACAACAACTAAAACTTTTATAATTTAACATGAAATTAACAACATTTTATTGAAAGCGAAACAATTAATTTTATAATATTCAACAATTAATTTAATTACTACAAAAGAAAAATGAACTGGACTTATAGAAAAATAAGGGACACATAATAATAGCACTAAGATTAAAAAACAAATAAAATTAACAAGCTAAGAAACAAAACTGAATATTTATTTATTTTTACTGAAAATGTCATCTTACCATAGAGAAACATGCTTTTTATATTGACCGTGCATAGTTTGATCTGTTAAGCTACTAGAAAGTAGCTTATAAAGCTATAACATCTATTATATCTATAATAATCAAAATTAATAATTAAAATTCCCTGGATAGATCACACAACAAATATCAAAGTATTAAATCGAATGGGCAGATAACGAGAATTGCTACCAATAATACAAAGAAGAAAAACTGCTTATCTGGGTTATATATTTCGAAATTCCAAGTAGCAAATCTTAAAGCTTATTATGCAAGGGAAGATAGAAGGAAAACAGGGCATCGGGAGAAAAAAGTACTCATGGCTTAAAAACATAAGGAATTGGACAAACCTCGATGCCCATGCATTCTTTAGAGCCACACAAGATCGAGAGAAGTATGCCAGAATTGTCGACAACATCCACTAATTGGATAGGGCACCATAAGAAGATATATATATATATATATATATATATATATATATATATATTGCAATGACACCAATATTTATAAAGTTAGTAAGTAAATAATATAAAAAAAAGATAAATTAATATTGTATGTGAGAAAACATGTTATGAATGAGAGTAATTATTTGAATAGATAGAATTTATTCATCCACAAAGTTTACACAGTTTTTACAAAAAAAAAAAATGTATAAATATTATCGGACTAGTCAAAATTTTAGTACAAAAGAGTACAATATATAGCAAAAGTACACATAATTAAAATAAAACAGTGATTTAGGTAAAATAAATAAGAAATAAAAGTTACAAATACAAGTTACAAATACAAATTTAGAACTATTGTTGCAAAAATGTTAAAAATTTAAAAATACATCAACACTGTAGAATGTGTCCATTTAAAATGAATACACAGTTTGGCGAAAACCTTTATGTGAAGAATTACTGAGAGTTAATATATTGACTATTTTATGTTATGAATGAGAGTAATTATTTGAATAGATAGAATTATATATATATATATATATATATATATATATATATATATATATATATATATATATATATATATATAACATGTTATGAATGAGAGTAATTATTTGAATAGATAGAATTTATTCATCCACAAAGTTTACACAGTTTTTACAAAAAAAAAAATGTATAAATATTATCGGACTAGTCAAAATTTTAGTACAAAAGAGTACAATATATAGCAAAAGTACACATAATTAAAATAAAACAGTGATTTAGGTAAAATAAATAAGAAATAAAAGTTACAAATACAAGTTACAAATACAAATTTAGAACTATTGTTGCAAAAATGTTAAAAATTTAAAAATACATCAACACTGTAGAATGTGTCCATTTAAAATGAATACACAGTTTGGCGAAAACCTTTATGTGAAGAATTACTGAGAGTTAATATATTGACTATTTTATTGTAACATTTTATTCCAATATATTCAGGTGCATGTTGGGATACACCTAATCTAGAGAAAGCTTGTCGAAAATTTGATTTACCCCTAGTATCATGTCCTCATTTCTGTCAAACTTGAATTTGTTTTCCTCAATGTTCAATATTAATTGGAAAATTAAAAGGCTGGGTAGTGTTAAAATATTAGACTTCTTAAATAGTGGCTTGCAACTATCTAAAAATGGAACACCATACATACTTCTTAAAACTTTCTTTTGATCTATAAATGCCCGTTCAAAATGAGATGAGAAACTCCAAAATATTAAGAAATACTGAAGTACAGACTAGACTAAACTAAAGTAAATCATTCGCAATATATCAAATGAGACAGTTTCTCTTAAATTACGCATTATATAGCTACATGTACTTAACTTTGCTGATACATGATTTACGTGAGTTTCCCATGTAAGTTTCCCCAAAAATTTTGTTGAAGTATAACTTCTATTGATTTACCATCCACATGTAAATAAAAGGCAGAATTTGGAGTTAAGTTTTTTGCTAAGAAACGCATAAAATATGTTTTTGTTACGTCGAGCTTGAGTCCATTATTTTTACAATATGTGCTAAATTCAGCAGACACAACATTGGTATTTTCCACCAGTTGTATGGGTTCACTGTGAGACATGAGAATATTGGTATCATCAGCATACTGAACAATTTTATCTGGCATTGAACAAAACGTGTTTAGGTCACTTACAAATATAATGAAAAATAAAGGCTTAAGTATTGAGCCTTGAGATACACCCATCGTACATTGAAGTGGCCTCGACGTTATATTTTCCACTGTGACTACTTGAGTTCTATTTCTTAGATAAGATAGGGCCCAATTGTATGGTATACCACGTACTCCAATACCCTGCAATTTTTGTAGTAAGAGTTTCACGATCAACTGTATCAAATGCACGACTAAGGTCATAAAAAAGACCCAACACATTTAATTTATCATTTAATGCTTTATAAATAAATTGAAGACAGTCAGAAATAGTAGTATTTGTAGATATTTTTTTTTTCTAAACCCGTTTTGAATAACAGGAAGAATTTTAAAATGTTGTAAATAATCTGTTAATCTATTTGCATAGGCTGCTTCAAATATTTTAGAGAACCGACTTGACACACAAATCAGCCTATAGTTTGCAATATCCGTTGCAGATCCTTTATTTTTAAAAATAGGGATTTCTTTCGATTCCTTTATATCTGGAAATATTCCGCATGTAAATGATTCATTTATGAGATAAGATAGTGGTAAAGCTATATAAGTGGCAACATGTTTCAAAGCTTTTCCATCATTTCGTCTATCCCTGCAGCTGTTTTATAGATATAACTTCTTTTTCAGTGGTTGGTGATAAAAAAAACTGAATTGAATTCGTCAATTTGTTTGGTACGATTGACAGCTGATAGTTCCTTATTTTTTACAGCATTAATAAAATAATTGTTGATTTGATCAGCTTTATGATAATTTTGTAAGTCACCGTTGTTACTAAAACATATTAAATTTTGATTTGATTGACACTTTTTACCTCTATTTTTATTAATTATTTTCCAACTTTCCCTTAATTACATTATTGCTATTTCTAAATTGATTATCATATTGTTCATTTCTATGTTTTTTAACAATTGTTTAATATTCTTGTTTAAATTTCTTGTATCGTTCCGAATACTCTGGGTTATTGAGTTGTTTTCTTAATCCATTCATCTGACACAATTGATCATGCAAACCCTTAATATGAGATGCAAACCACGTTTTTTGTTTTGATCTGGTAGTTACTCTACGTTTTAAGAAAGTATTATTATAATAATATAAGAAAGTATCATAAAATATTGAAAATTTTTCTTCAAAACTACTAGCCACATATAGATCACTCCAATCAACATTAGCTAAAATATTTTGAAAAGTAATTAAGTTGGCACCGCATAAGTTTCTGGTAAAAACAGTTTGAGGATTTTTTCCAGTAACTTTCATATCAAAAGCACATAATTGATAAATATGATCTGATAGAAATTTGTCACTCACCTTTTGAACATCTAAATTGGAAAAAAAGTTGTCAATACATGTTGAAGAATTTTAGTAATTCTAGTAGGTAAATTTATGTGAAATTTAATTTTGTATTTTAAAAATAAGTTTATTAAAATATTTTTCTGATTACTATTTTCTAAAAAAATGATATTAAAATCTCCATATATAACGTAAAAATCATTATTGTTATAAATTTTCTGCAACAATAGTCCTAACTTCGTAATAAAAGTATTAAAATTCACACTATAAGGAGGTCTGTATATAGTTACAATAAATAAATATTTTTTACTCCCATGAACGTTAAATTTTACTCCACATATTTCAACTTTGCTTTCAATACACCCTTGACGTAAATTTAGCTGTTCATAACTAAACTTATTATTTACAAATATGCGTACACCTCCACTTTCTTTATCATTTCTTGCGAAATAAGACACTAAATTGAAGTTTTCAATATTGGTTACTTTAAGTTTATCTTCTTTCAACCAGTGTTCACTAAGGTATACTACATTCACATTATTACTGTAAAGTATCAAATTTATATCATAAGATTTACGTTCAAGTACTCCCTGTATATTGCAGTGTAAAATAGGGAAATATAAGTTTGTCGATTTACTTGCATTAATACTTCGACTTTGGATATTTTGATAAACTATGTAAGTTTGACATTGACTTTGGGTTTGAGAGTCCCTAACGAAGAAATTATTTTATATTGATTATATTGTTGGTATTTCCGGAAATCGAAACGCTTATAAGCGACAGATCTTGGCCAAGTCGATGGTTTATAGATTTCGTCTCTTAATTCGAAGTTGACACCACACATAAAACATTTGTTTTGGTTTTCGTTAGTTGGTAGTTCTCTAATAATAATATC